TATATATCTATATCTCTATATCTATATCTCTATATCTATATATATATATATATTGTAACATGCATTTAAAATATTGCTAAAGAATGAAACCTACCCATCAACAGCTAATAAATTGTTGATGCAACAAATATATCTTGCATAGCCTTATATAGTTTGTTCAGATCCACAGTAGAGTTGGCTGGTAGATCCACAGTAGAGTTGGTTATATTCAGCTCTGTATCAAACACTTGTTTTTAACAGCAATGTTGTAGCTTTTACTATTTATAATTGATACTCCGTATAACGTCAAAACAGCTACCTTGTATATCCTTCAAGTGCTGTATCCAAAAGAACATCCATCAGAGACTCACAATTTCCAAACGGAGAAGATTGCAACATAGACTTCCGATATCTGGGAGTAACCCTGTTTATGCAACAGCATTAGCCTGCAGTTCCCCAATGCATCCACATAAGTGCCGCTTCAATAGCGATCTCCAACTGGGAAAATCTGTGTAAGATAAATACATTTTAACTTACATTTTAACTTATCTGTTTCAAACGAAAAGTCAGTCAATCCTTTTTCCCTTGGGGTGCAGCAGCCTTGGCAATGTTTCCGCTTGGTCTTGAGACCCGTCTCCATGCATCATCCAGTCACCAGCAGTCACTGGGGATCTCGCGCCATGAGTGGAAGACGCTAACCACACTACTCCCTGACGTGTTTCTCCCCACAATGGGGCTTCAGAGGGGCGTGATCCATCATTGCTCCGAACGGGTGGTTTTTATATCCATTCGTATGCAAATGGTTTAAAGGGCACTGTGCGTTCCATTTGATGTTCCTTAGGGAGCTTCCTGTTTGCGCTCCAATTGTTGCTGGTTTGTACATATAATTCAATTTCAGCTCCTTCCTATGGACCGGCTTCGGACACAGGGAAGGTAAGACAATGTCCTCATTCAGATGGAATGCCGACACAACCTTCGGCAGGAACGCCGGCCGAGGACGGAGAACCGCCTTGTCCCGATGCAAAACCAGCAACGGAGACTTGCAAGACAAGGCAGCCAACTCCGACACCCGCCGAACGGAAGTGATGGCCACCAAAAAGGCCACCTTCTGTGACAAAGATATAAGTGGAATCTCCCGAAGAGGTTCAAATGGGGAACCCTGCAACACAGAAAGCACGAGATTCAAATCCCACGGAGCCAAAGGCGCGCGGACAGGGGGAGCAATGCGTGTCACCCCCTGAACAAAAGTGCGAACCAGAGCATTAGACGCCAGAGGCCGCTGGAAAAGCACCGCCAAGGCAGAGATCTGGCCCTTCACAGTACTCAAGGCCAGCCCCTGAGCCACCCCGCGCTGCAGGAACGCAAGGATCCTGCTGATGGAAAACAAACGTGGGGACAAGGCCCCAGCCTCACACCAGGCAAAATAGGCCCTCCAGGTACGATGGTAAATTTTCCTGGAAACCGCTTTGCGCGCTCTGAGCATAGTGGAAATGACCGCATCGGACAACCCCCGGTCCCTCAGGACCTGGCTCTCAACAGCCACGCCGTCAAAGCTAGCGACTGTAAAGAAGGATGGAACACAGGACCCTGGGACAGAAGATCGGGGCGCAGAGGCAGGCGCCACGGGGCGTCCACCACCAGCTGAATCACATCTGCGTACCACGCCCGCCGAGGCCAATCCGGGGCCACGAGGACGACGGTGACGCCCTCGACCGCGATCCGACGGAGCAGCCGAGGCAACAGATACAGTGGAGGAAAGGCGTAAATCAGGCCGTAGTGGCCCCAAGGGGCCACCAGTGCATCCACGCCCTCTGCCCAGGGATCCAGAGCCCGGGCCACAAACCTGTCCACTTTGCGGTTGAACCGAGACGCCAGAAGATCCACTTCCGGCGTCCCCCAGCGACGACAGAGCTGCTGAAAAACCTCCGGGTGCAGAGACCACTCCCCCGGATCCACCGACTGTCGACTGAGGTAATCGGCCTGCCAATTGTCTACTCCCGGGATGTAGACCGCCGAGAGAGCCAGAACTCGATGTTCCGCCCAGGACAGAATCCCGAACACCTCTCGACCCGCGGCCGCGCTTTTTGTGCCGCCCTGGTGGTTGATGTACGCCACCGCAGTGCCGACTGGACCCGGACCGCCACACCCTGGAGCCGGTCCGACCAATGAAGGAGAGAGAGGCGAATCGCCCGAAGTTCCAACACATTTATCGACAGACGGGACTCCTCCGGCGACCAACAACCCTGCACGGTCAAGGAGCCCAAGACCCCGCCCCAGCCCCAAAGGCTGGCGTCCGTGGTGACCACCGTCCAATGTACTGGAAGAAAATACTTCCCCCCCAGCAAGACCGGAGAGCGAAGCCACCACCGCAGGGAGGCCAGGGACAGGGACAATGCGGTACCCGCGGCAACACCCACCCCCCCAGTAGCACCAGAGGGGCGCACGGGCGACAGGCAAAGCACCGCAGGCGTACAGGCTGCACAAAGAGGGGATCTAGAGGGGTCCGCAGAGCGCAGCCCACAAGCCTCACAAGGCAATGCAGGAGTGTCATCCCTGCGATCCATTGCACCCGCAGCAAAAACACCCCACAGACCAGAGACCACCAGACAAGGGAAAGAGGGACCCCCAGCAACTCACAACCCCCAGCGTTTGTCTTGGCCCAGACGTCCGACCCAGCAAGTGGAGGAGCTCTGCCCGCTGTGACCTTCTTCCCCGGCGTCCACGAGCCGAAAGGAAGGCCCTCCCCATCCGCCCGAGGCTATAGGAAGCCCGGGCGGAAGTTACGAAATGAAAGGGCAAAGTTGCCCACATCCAAGATGGCGGCCGCGGAGCCGCCTGGAGGCCGCAAAAGCCGGGGCCTCGAGTAGCGGCCGTGGCCGCCGCACGAGCGACGTCTGCCGCGGATGCCGCCGCTCCACACAGTCGGCTGCTGGGACAAGAGCAGCGCCCATCCCCCACCCCACATCTATGTGAGGACCCCCTGAAGACCAAAACCGAGATCCAGGACGGCGGCCGCGGGGCCGCCCGGAGGCCGCATCCAGACCGGGGCCTCGAGTAGCGGCCGCCATGAGGTAACCCCAAAACACCCCAGTAGTACCCCCAAGGCCCAGGAACCCCCTGGAGGGGACCTGACAGGGGCCAGCACCATGTAGGTAGGAGGGAGGCAGGGGGGGGGGGGGGGAGAGATAGGAAGGACACAGGATGCTGCAGCTGTGAGAACAGCGCAGCCTCCAGCTTACCTCAGATCCGGGTCCTCAGGCCATCCACCGGAGACCCCACATACATACCGCCAGGGAAGCAGGAACCATCGCCAGGGTCCAGAGGAAGCAGGGTACCGGCAGGAGAACGCCCCCGACCGAAGCCGCGGCGCCGCCAGCCTGCGGGGAGAGCCGCGACCGGTGGGCCGGAGCCCCCGGTCAGAAGCCCCCCCCCCGGGACGAATCCCATAGGCGTCGGGGAGGACCACCCGTCGCAGCCGACCCACCGTAGCAGAGTCTGCATGCGCTCGTCGGTCACCCAGGGGAGACTACAAGGATCTACAATCATCCAGCCTGTCGCCCTGGGGACACTTGCTAGAAGAAAAATCAAGTCAAACGGAAGAAAGGAAAAAAATTCTTCAGAGAAATTTTTTTAGCTCCTTACTCCTGACGCTAGGCAAAAAACTGGAAACTTGTCAGCAAGTGAGGGGTTGGGGAACCAGCAGGGGCCGCCCCTAGGCTGTCTTGTCTTTTTCTTATGTGCCTAGCGTCCTACTCCTGCAGGTGGCGATATACCCTACCATTCAGGATCTACGATCTGTTGCCCTGTGTCCTTCAATGAACGGGAGAGAAAAATTATATTTTTTTACTTATGCAATGGTCACGATACCTTACTAAACCCCATAATTTGTTTTGTGGTCTTCTAATATTTAAACAAACCCACCTACCAATCATGGAACAAGAGGCCAGCCGTCCCATACAGAGAGCTTCAGAAATGATGAAGAGGGAGTCAGACTTGCAGATGATAGCCGTAGCAGTGAGGTAACAGCTGGAAACATGTCTAAACAGTGTGGAGAAACTTTAGCATGTTTTGGTGCAGGAGATAAGGATGTTTAAAATAATGTCCTGGCTCAGTATTGCCTTATCCTTATGGATAACCAGAAAAGGCTCTTTACAAGTCAAGGCTGTCAACTCTGAAAACAAGCTTGGCATAAGTGATGGCAACAAGAAAGACAACCTTGCAATTAAGTAGGGTCAGAGGGATATCTCCAAGAGGTTCAAAGGGTGGCTTCCTGGAGAGCTGACAACTAAGTTGAAGTCCCACAGAGTCACTAGAGTGCATCGGTTGGGGGGGGGGGTTTGGGGCGACATGAGCAAACCCCTGCACAAAGGCCTTCACTAGGTGAATGGAAAAGAATTGCCAAAGCAGAAATTTGACTCTTAATAGTACTGAAAGCCAAGCACTGGTCTAGGCCAAACTGAAGAAAAGATAAGATGTGTCACACAGTGAATTCCTTTGGATGGAACTTCCTTGCATCGCACCAAGCGAAATAAGTCTTCTAGGTGCAATGGTGGATCTTACAGGGTAGGGATTACAGTGCCTACAAGTCTGCTAGAAATACCACGAACCACACAGTCTCCTGGGCCAGTTAGAAGCAAAGGAAGCAAGAGTTTCAGAGGAAAGAAGGTGTAGTTCAAGCCATCCATTCTGAAGTCTAGTTTGTTGTTAAACCTGGGCACCAGGAGGTCAATGTTTCATGTCAGCCAACTGCGACAAGAGTTTACTTTACTAATTTGTATCGAGATTGCAGACCATCACAGGGGCAAGCTTGGAGCGGTGGCTACTTTACAACACACACAAGAACCATGAGGAACAAGAGCATCCACCCTCCAGAAGGAAGGACAGGTGTCAGCACAAAATCAGAGATAATATTTGAGGATCTTCAGCTGAGTGATAACAAAAATGTAGCTTATTTCTGTAATAGTTAGGGTACTGCATTTGTAAGATTTAACTCCTGAGTTTAGTGTCACTTTAAAACAAAACACTAGTTATTGTTACTCAAAGTAATTTGTTCAAGAATTCTGTTTACGGAAACTACACTTATGGCACATTTTATTGTTTAAATGATATGAAATGCAGACCTTGTAACCCTATACCCTTATTTTTAAAAAATAATAAAACCTTATAAATTACAAATAAAAATTCCCATAAACAAAATTCCCACAAAATTATGACCAACAAGTATACAAACTATGCTCAAGAAGAAATCAGTTAATGTGTAACTAGGCTAAAAGCAACATTAGTGTTCACATTTTGGAATCAAACACAAATTTTAAGTTTTTGGACAGCAACTGATACTTTTATACATCAATGTATTATTAAACTGATCAGAAATTATAGTCACAACATTGACAATGTAATTTTTTTAAATGTTATTTTTATAACCATTTTATTCATCAGGCTTTACATTCAAAGGATTGTCCATCTGAAGCAATTACAGCTTTAGAAACATTTGGCATTCTAACTGTTTACAGGATATTCATAGAAATTTAAAGTGACACAAAACTCAAGAGTTAAAACTCAAAATTGCATTCATGTACCTTAACTATTAACACAAATGTATCTTATTTGTGTATCACTCAGCTGTAGATCCTCAAATCTCTGAATTGGTGCCGACACTGTCGTTCCTTCAGGAGGGTGGCAACTTTTGTTCCCCATGGTCCCTGTGTGTGTTGTAAAGTAGCCACCAATCCAAGCTCTTTCATGTTTAGTTTACTAATTTGTATTGAGATTGAAGTCCATAATGGGAGCAAGCTTGGAGCAGTGACTACTTTACAACACACACAGGGAGCATGAGGAACAAAAGAAGCCACCCTGCAGAAGGAAGGAAAGTGTCAGCAATGATTCCGAGATGATTTGCAGATCTACAGCCGAGTGATACACAAATAAGATACATTTTTGTTAATAGCTAAAGTACTTGAATGCATTTTTAAAGATTTACCTCCTGAGTTCAGCATCACTTTAACCAGTGTGTTTTGTAGCTTTTCCCGAGTGTGAATGGCTTTAAAGTGAAGTTCATTTCACAAGAGCTCAAAAAGGTTGAGATCTTGCGACTCTGATGGTTAATCCATCAAACACAGTACTCTGGCTTCCTGTTTCTTCACCAAATTTAGGAAGTAGGTATTGGATCAATTACACACATCAACCACTAATCTGAGGGGATGGCATAACTGCATAAAATAGACTGGAAATCTAGATGGGTCACTATACCAGGCAATCTGTCTCCCACCTTTACCAGCACCAAAGCACTTGCATACCATTCCTTTTCCTCTGTCAAGCTTGACTGAAGATACAGACAACTCTTCCAGTATCCTTTCATTCATTCACAGTCTCACATGCAGTATGTTCTCACAGATGCAAACATCTCAAACTCAGGCATATCTATCTAGAATACTCTTTACTAACCTCCACTGTCCAACTTCTGTATTTTTGCCTATTTCAGCCTTTTGTTTTTTATGTGTCACTTTCAAACAACGACTACCAGCCTCTCTCAGAATACCCCAACAGAGCCAGCGGCTCATTGGCTGCCAGTTCTGTTCGTTTGAAGATTTTCTAACCGGCTCCTATGATCAGATGATCAAGGGATGCCGGCCGAAAGTTTATCAATAACAGGCCGAAATTCAAATAGTGTATAGCTTAACTGTAGTAAAAGTAGTTGTCCATCAAAGGCTTCAAAAAGTCAGCTTAGAAATGTTAGATTCTTTGTAAATACTTGTTATAGCTGATACTCTTTATTCTAGAGTAAACAAGCTAAAATTAAGCTAAAATGTTTATAGGTAACTTGTAGGGTCATCTTAAATACATAACTTGCCTTTTTCTTCCTAAGGTCATCTTGTTTAGCCAAGCGCTCATCCACTGCCCGAATGCTATAATTAACAGATGTTTTGAGACTCTGGAAAAAGAACATTGCAATTAACTGTAACAAGAAGAAATAGGCAGAGTAAAATCTAAGAGGAACTAGTCAGAAGCAAATATGAACATATGAGGCATGAATTGTTATGGATACCAGAACTTCCGTCTACCTGGCCATGCAGGAACAGGAAACATTTAAACATGCATGCAAACCCTAAAAATTAACTTCTCTGATATGCGCCCCTTGTGTCTGTTTTATATAGCAGAGTGAGAATGGTTGAGTAGTTTAGCAAAAGGGCTGACAACAATTGTTTCATAAAAATACTGTGTGTTGACCCTCCTCATCGCAAGAGTGGCAGCAGAATGCAGATTCCAGGACCTAGCACTGAAAGAACACCTGACATTGTTAGTATTGTGTCAGTCGATTGATCTGCACCCAACAGCACAGTCCCAGCTAGGGGATTAACAGCATTGCCGCTGACCAGCAATGCAAGGAACAGTTTTAATAGCATTGCCCAGGGCGGGTGGATGACAGGGGGTTAACAGCAGTGCAACTGACGAACCATGTAAAGGGGAAGCAGTTCTGACTTTACTGACCAGCAATGGTGGGGTATTGACAGCACTGGAGGCTATTACTGTACCCATTGACACATGTTGGGAGTCACATATTGTGGTCACTGCCAACAAGGCTGGCGGTTAACACTGCGGTCACAGACACCAATACTGGGGGTATTATTGCAGTCACTGACACTAATGCAGGGGGTTATTATTACGCCAAACCCAATATTTAGCCAGACCCACTGCATTCAGAAAATGGTCCCGCATTCCCATCATAACATACATGTGTAAGCAATATTCACACCTCAGCAGACACACACCTCAACATGTTGGTATCCAAACTGGGGAGTTGTGGTCGCAGAATCTCTAGCAGCTTGTCAAAAGTCAAGGCAGACATCTGTCTAAACAATTTCTCTGGATATTTATAAAAGGCCTCCATACATTTTACTTAGTTTTATGTCAACTTTCCTTATGCGAGTAGTTTTTTAAATAAAGGAGTTTAATTTTGCGGTTTTACGCTATGGGCAGTTTTTATATTTTATTGGATATGGTCGTGATGACATGCTGACGTCATTTTCTGTGCAATGATTGTGGAGAGATGGCCTTTGAATAAGATCGATTGGAGATCATATAAAGCGATTTTAGACCTGCTTAGGTCTACTTCTTAGGTGTGCAGGCCCACTAAGAGGGGGAGCATCTGGGTGATAATTGGAGTTGATGTATGGACTTTGTATAAAGAACTTTCACAGTGGAAGGATAAAGAGTGTGGTGCACTTGGGACAAATCGTGAGCACTTTATACATGTGATTCCACATTTGTGCACATCTGAACACGGAATATATGATTGAACTTTACAGAGGGATATTATTTAAGATTAATATTTATAAGAAGAGCAATTGTGAACACTTTGATTGCATGTATTGTTTAGCACTTATTTATTATAGAGATTTATTTATTTATAGTTCTAGATGAAGCGCAGCATATGCATTATAATTGGATACATTTAGAGGGTAACACTTTTTATAGTGCTTGCAGCTACACAGGGTTCGGCGCAAAGTGCCAAACTTGCCACCTGTTCCTATAGTGTCATCAAATGCATCTCTCCTTTGTTCCTCCGATATTATAGTTTAAATGGATGGATACAAAAATACTAATTTGTTGAACCTACCAATACTTCTTCACGCAGCTGTCCCAATGGCACTGAAAGCTGACTCAATGCTTTATCCATTCCAACCTGAATATTGAAAGAAAAAAGACACCTTAAAAACCTGGCCAGAAGAGAAAAGCTTTTCCTAATATTGCTTCATTCAGATGTGATAGGCTATCCAGGGATGAGGAAACGTCAGGAATAAAAGGTGGAGATATTTCTTCCAGTCCTTACATGGCTTGAACAAATGCTGGTACCCTCTACATTACTTAAGGTCTACAGTGATGCATAAGCAGTAGCAGAAGAGTGAAGAATTGGGACCCACCTATTAGGGAAATGGATAGCTTTGACTGCCTGCTGCAGTTTCCTCTGTAAGTACTGGAAAAAGTTGTGCTTAAAAATCAGGAGTAACAATTGCTTTTATCAAGTATTAGAACCTCTGTCGGGTTTGCTGTCTGAGATTTATGCTCTCAAATTGCCCCGGTCACCAGAAATGAAAGTGAGGTAAAATCCATAACTTGTCACCAGAACAGGAACAGTCTTTCATTGGGTGCACGTATTCCAATGACGAATGTCTAAGAGGTTTACCTCTTTAGAGAGATTACTTCATATTTCCAGTAGTGTCTACAGGACAGGAAGTGAAGGCAAATCTCTAATTGCAAAAAAAGACCTATGTTACCCAAAATAAAAAAAGTTTTGATTTAATATATTTTTTGAAGTAGATCTAAACCCACGCACTAAATTCTCTAATAAGCATTAACATGTAATTTCAAGTATTTTTAAAGTTATCATCTTCCAGTTGTGCTCTTGCTAACTTTCTCCAGTCCCCCTACACTTTTCTATTGGCCAGTATGGCATTTGGTGTTCAGTGGGAAGGTATGGGAAGCAAATCAAATCATGATCACGTCAGCACTGGAAGAAATCTGTGGAACCCCGTAGGAAGCTAGGTCCTTTTTTCAAGGTTTTTTTTCAAGGTTTGCTTTAAAGAACTATGGGGTGAGTACATTACATTCATCCCCATAGTTAAAGCCGACGTGTAACAGTTTGAAATTGTCACACGTCGGCTCTATCGATCGTGAAGTGATCGAAAACATACTGACGCTCGCTCACTTCCCTGCAGAGAGCAGTGATTGTCAGTCACTGCTCCCTGCAGGGATTCCCACCCTCCCTTCTCTGATCCTCCAGCGCTGACTGGAGGAACGGACGGGGAAGGGGCAGGCATAGCTGGCTCTGCCTCTAGAAAAGCAGAGCACGCTGTCAGCCAGCCAGGGGGAATCTCGACAGTATTGTCGGAAACCATCCCAGCTGCTGCGCTCTCAGCATATAGTGGGTAATAGCCCGCTATATACTGAGTTTTGGGTCATGGGAGGATGTTAGTATATGTCCTCTCATGACCCTAAAAAGAACTATGTAAAAAAATAAAAAAAAAGATTTATCCCATAGTGCTCTTTTAAGATCTGGCCTCTAACTTGCTGGACATGTTTGCAAGCTAAAAAAAAAAAAGCACTTGAATCACATTTTATTTTATAAAAGGGCATTTATCATTTTTGATGACTGATGGCCAAAACGCCTGAAACTTCTGCATGCAGCTTGGAATAAATGGCTATCCTATTAGCCTGTATCTGCACTATACACCAGCAATTCTGGATGTGCATTTGGCTAGTTGGGGAAAAGGAATGATTCTCCTCAATGTCCTAAAATGAGAAATAATCCTCTTGTGTTTTAAATATGTAAAAGGAATGAGTTTTGTTCTAAGAAGGATTTACTTTGAAGCCGATGAAAACAGCAGGTCATAACAGTGACTCAAGAATGCATGCAAAAATAACTTCACAACTATAGCTTGTTCTCAATGCCCAGACAAAAACAAAAATGTCAATGAATTAAAGGACAACTTATTAACTTGAATAAACCCCCCCACCCGAGTGTAGCCAGAGTAGTTATTAGTCATCCTGGCTCCCATATTTTTTGACTGTGCAGCCCTATCCAACACCACACAGCCGTGACATCCAACATATACTGTCTTGGTTGCCTTGTGTGCAGGCGCACCATGTGCCCATTCATTCTTGTGGATGATACATATTCACGGCGGCTCCCAGCCATCCAGTAGAGTAAGGACCAACCACAGGCAAGGCTACACAGTCATGAACATGAATGAAGTTAAGTATATAAAGTAGAACTATGGCCTCCCATTAGAAAATATATCTGCTGCAGCAATTAATAGGCGTATTAACAGGTGCACACACTTAGTTTTCTCTTATTCCCCCTGCAAAGTCCAACAAATCCCTGTTCAAAATTCCAGTAAAGTTAATCTAAATGGTAAAGAAATCTGCGCTAATGGAAAAAATTAAAATAAACTAGAAAAAACATACTAGCTAAAAGCTGCTAAACTCAGGTGGTTAAGCCTAGAAAATTAGTAAACAAAAAGGTACAGCACTAATAACCTCTCCGTAGGGAACATTCAAAGCGCATACAAAATAACAAAAAATGTGCAAAAATGCCAATATTAATGTTCATAACCTCTCACGAGGAACACTCAAAGTGCTAATACAGTGTCAAAAGTATAAATATAGCTGCAAGCAGCAATAAAGGTGGCCCCGCAGTAGAGCCGGTTATAGCGCATGAGAAGATGATTTAGTTAGCGAGAGAAATAGCAGGACATGATTGCATGAATTTAAAAAAATTGAAATTCAAAATGGCCGCCGACCTTGGTGACCTTTGGTACCCATATTGTATTTGGCAGTCATGATTTTGAATTTTCATATGCATAACAAGTTTAACATACTGCACTAATGATATAAAAGCACGTTTATGCAATTGGATGCAATTTTTACATTTGATTTACTTGTGGCGGCCATATTGATTTTGGGATCGGGCCAGTTTCTACAACCGTGGTAGAAGAGGTAGCCCTCGGCATATGTGCAAAGTTTTGAGTTATCCTGATAAATGGTTTCAGAGTTTACGTTGTTTGCAGAACATTGCACAGTCCAAAATGGCTGCCAAACCATGCGGCCACATGACTTGTAATAAACAGGCTTTATGCATTTATGCAATTGGATGCAGAACTCAGCTTATCCGCACCTAGAAATTTGTATATGTGTAGCCTTAGCGGTTATGAAAAAACAGATGTTTGAAAACGGTTAAGAAATAGGTTTACTTAAACCAAGATGGCTGCCAGAGCATGTGACCTATGACCTTTATATTGCCAAAGAATAAACACAACACAGTTATCTACCATTGTGCCAAATTTGATGATTTTTACATAACGGTGTGGTAATAATTAGCATTTGAAAAAAAGAGCATTAAAATAAAAGGAAAATTTGTCGAATTTGACACAATTCAATATGGCTGCCAAACCATGTGGTCAATTGACTTGTAATGATCAGGTGTGAGTGCAGATCACAGTATAACTATAAATAGCAATGTGTACATCTGTACCTGTTATAGCTCCTGAGAAACAGATGTTTGAATATGTTGCTGAATATCATCACCTAAAAAAAGATAGCTGCCAGGCAATGTGACCTATGACTATTGTAATGCTCTACCATTGGGCCAAGTTGCATGAGTTTATGAGTAACAGTATGCTTATTATAGGCATTTGAAAACTAGCCATAATAATAACACTATCTAAATATCATTGGCTTGCAGCGTCCATTTTGATTTTGGGATCGGGCCAGTTTCTACAACCGTGGTAGAAGGGGTCGCACTGGACATATGTGCAAAGATGTGAATAATTCTGATCAATGGTTTGAGTTTAAGTTGTATGCAGAATATTGCACAATCCAAAATGGCTGCCAAACCATGTGACCAATAGAGCTATAATGAACACAAGATAAAAGAGCACAGTATAAGCTCACATATCTAGTTGTACATCTGTAGCTTTTGCGGTTCTGGATAAGCAGGTTTTTTAAAATTTGCAAAAATTGTCACAAAAACCAAGATGGTTGCCACATATGACCTATATATTGTAATAAGCTCTGCAGAGCATAGGGCCCTACCATTGTGCAAAGTTTCATGAGTTTTTGACAAACAGAGCACTTGTTACAGGCATTTGAAAGCAGCGGCGGAATAAAAATAAATATAGCTGCAAGCAGCAATAAAGGTGGCCAAGCAGTAGAGCTTGTCATAGCACATGAGAAGATGTAGTTAGAGAGATTTAAAAAAAGGACATATTTTATGATTTAAAAAAAATCTAATTCAAAATGGCCGCCGACCTTGGTGACCTCTGGAAGCCATATTGTATTGGCAGTTATGATGTTGAGTTATCATATGTATAACAAGCTTAACATACTTCACTAATGATATAAATGCACATTTATGCAATTGGATGCAATGTCAAAAACTGTTTGGCTTGTGGCGGCCATATTGATTTTGGGATCGGGCCCTGTTTCACAACCGTAGTGGAAGAGGTAACCGTGGTGGAAGAGGTAACCGTGGACATATGTGCAAACTTTTGAGTTATTCTGATAAATGGTTTCAGAGTTTAAGTTGTTTGCCGAATATTGCACCATCCAAAATGGCTGTCAAACCATGTGGTCACATGACTTGTAATAAACACATGAGTGCAGAGCCTTAGCAGTTATGAAAAAACAGATGTTTGAAAATTGTCAAATAGGTTCGTGTAAACCAAGATGGCCGCCAGGGCATGCAACCTATGACCTTTATGTTGACAGAGATTAAACAGCACCGTTCACTACCATTGGGCAAATTTCATGAGTTTTTACATAACGGTGTGGCAATAATTAGCATTTGAAAAAAAGAGCATCAAAATAATACAAATATTTGTCTAATTTGACACAATTCAATATGGCCGCCGAACCATGTGGCCAATTGACTTGTAATGTTCAGTTGTAAATGCAGATCATATCATGACTATACACAGCAATTTGTAGATCTATAGCTTTATCAGTTTCTGAGAAACGGATGTTTGAATATGGAGCTGAATATAATCACCTAAAACAAGATGGCTGCCAGGCAACGTGTCCTATGACCTTTATGTTGCAAAAGATTGGGCATAGCAAAGATCTGTACCATTGGGCCAAGTTGCATCAGTTTGTGAGTAACAGTGCGCTTATTACAGGCTTTTGAAAAAAAGGCCATAATAATAACGCTAACACCATTAGCTTGCATCAGCCATTTTGATTGTGGGATCGGGCCTATTTCTACAACCGCGGTAGAAGAGGTCGCCCTGGACATATGTGCAAAGTTTTGAGTTATTCTGATAAACGGTTTCAGAGTTTAAGTTGCTTGCAGAATATTGCACCATCCAAAATGGCAGCCAAGCCGTGTGGTCACATGACTTGTAATAAACAGATATTGCACAGCTCAGAATATACTTATATAGTAATTTGTATATCTGTAGCTTTAGCGGTTATGAAAACGGAACACAGATTTGAATATGGTCAAAATAGGTTTGCTTAAAACAAGAAGGCCGCCAGAGCATGCGACCTATGACCTTTATGTTTGCAAAGTTTAAACACAGCACAGTCCTCTACCATTGTTGCAAATTGCATGAGTTTTTACATAACGGTGTGGCAATAATTAGCATTTGAACAAAAGAGCATCAAAATAATAGAAATATTTGTCGAATTTGACACAATTCAATATGGCCGCCGAGCCATGTGACCAATTGACTTGTAATGATCAGTTGTGAATGCAGATCATACCATGACTATACACAACAATTTGTAGATCTGTAGCTTTATTAGTTTTTGCGAAACGGATGTTTGAATATGGAGCTGAACATAATCACCTAAAACAAGATGGCTGCAAGGCAGTGTGACCTATGACCTGTATGTTGCTAAAGTTTGGGCATAGCATAGAGCTGTACCATTGGGCCAAGTTGCATTAGTTTGCGAGTAACAGTGCGCTTATAACAGGCTTTTGAAAAAAAGGCCATAACAATAACACTATCTAAACACCATTGGCTTGTAGCGGCCATTTTGATTGTGGGATCGGGCCTATTTCTACAACCGTGGCAGAAGAGGTCGCCCTGGACATATGTGCAAAGTTTGGAGTTATTCTGATAAATGTTTTCAGAGTTTAAGTTGTCGACAGAATATTGCACAATTCCAAATGGCCGCCAAACCATGTGACCAATAGAGCTATAATGAGCACATGTGGCAACAGAGTAAAGCATAAGCTCACAGAACAAGTTGTACATCTGTAGCTTTAGCGGTTCTGGAGATGCAGGTTTCTGAATAGTTCACAAAAATCGTCATAAAACCAAGATGGCTGCCACATCATGTGACCTTTATATTATAATAAGCTCAGGGCTGTAGCATTGTGCAAAGTTTCATGAGTTTTTGAGTTACAGAGCACTTGTTACAGACATTTGAAAAAAGTGGCGGAATAATAATAATAAAAATAATCAGATACAATAGGTGTCCTTGCAACTTCGTTGCTTGGCCACCTAATTATAATAAAAATAATAATAATAAGAGGCGTCCTTGCAACTGCATTGCTTGGCCACCTAATAATAATCTAAACAGATACAATAGGTGTCCTTGCAGATTGCCACCTAATAATAATCCTGAAGGGGTTCTAAAGCCTCCCGTTTTTTGCCTATATTTACTGCTGACAAGCAGTAGATATAGGCAAAAAGTTTAAAAAAAAAAACAAAAAAACACTTAAACAGCGGTTTAGACTGACCTTATTATCGCTGCGCGCTCCAGCGGCGAGAGTCCGGAACTGTTTGTGCGGCTGCAAAGGATCTTGGGTGCGGGCGCATGCACAGTTCGGATTTTCGGCCGGGAGACGAGCAGAGACGCAAGGTAAGTGTATGGACGCGTGCACCCGCATGCAGACACCGCTGGATCTGAAGTGCCTGTAAGCAGAGAGGAGTCAGCGCTGGATCGAAGAGCCGCCGCACCGCTGGAGGGACAGATGTAAACATGGGGAAAGAGGAAGATCGGATTAAGAGACATCATTTAAAAAAGGTAAGTGCTAACATGGGGGGGGAGGGGGAAAAAAATGTATCCTTTAACCCCTTCATGACTGAGGCCTTTTTTTTTCATTTTTTGCACCCATGTTATATTCCACATTTTAGGCCTGAAAATTACTTAAAACCCCCCAACATTATATATTTTCTGAATGCCAAGACCCTATAGAATAAAATGGTGGTAGTTGCAAATTTTTATGTTGCGCAATATTAGCGCAACTCCTTATTAAACCCCAACATTTAGTGAAAAATTTAATTAAATGCCCCAAAACACAACAAAATACCAATTTTTGTAATGAAATATAAAAGATGAGGCTACAACTAGTAAAACGATACCCAACATGCCCAGGTTACAAATTGCGTGCGCCCGTGAAACGGCGAAAAACTGAAGTACTAGAAGACGCTTTAAAAGCCCCCACAGGTCATCAATTTAGAGATACCCCAAAATACTGGCCCTAGAATTATTGCTCTCACTCCGGCGTGCGCGGCGATACCCAACATGTGTAGCGCGTTCGTCGTTTTCATGCGTAGGCGCACCCGACGCGCGTGCTCACGGGAGCGGGGGAATATTAATTTTTTTTTTATTATTAGATTTATTTTAGTTAATTTTAAAAAACTTTTTTTTTTACTTTACTTTGACTGCTATCACATAGGGGGGCTTACAAGCCCCTCCCCATGTGATAGCAGATGGTGGTGACAGGTAATCTTTAACCACTTGCCGTCCGCCCGTTGTAAAAAAAACGGACGGACGGCACTGCAGCATTGGCGGGTTGCCGTCTCCAGATGGCATTTTTTTTCCGGCACACACGGGCAGATAAGACCCGACCAATGCAAACACCTGTTGCCGGGTGTTTCACATATAGACGATCGGCGGCTCCATAGCCCTCTGATCGTCTATATGTGCTCGTTTTTGCGCCCCCCGACCCCTCACCTTCAATCCCGGGATCTGATGCCCCATCTGCGGTCCGGGACCGGCTCGGAGGGCGTCAGGAGGAAGAGGACGAAAGATCGGCTCCTTGCTGACCTCCCTCCGGGCTGTGAATGCAGAAGTGATGTGTATTACATCACTTCCGCATTCACCTGTCAGTCATCTGGCTGCTATAGCCAGAGAAAAGAGCTGATGAAGCAGATCTCTGCTTCATTGGGGGCGGCCCCTTCTACGGGACACAGAAGCAATCTGGCGGCAGATAAGTCGCCAGAATCGCTGCTGTTGTAAAGCCGACAGTCGGCTTTACAAGTTTAAACAGAGTCTGTTTAAACAGCCCCGATGCTGTCGATGTACACTGTACGTCGTCAGTCACGAAGGGATTAATGTCACTTTAACAGATACAATAGGTGTCCTTGCAACTTCGTTGCTTGGCCACCTAAATAAAATGACTATGCAAAACATAGCAATAATCTAAACATGATTTTCCTAAAAACACTGAGTAAAAAAATTCCAAATAGTGTACAATTTCGTAGTGTACCAGTTTGTTTTCAACTTCATTCAGTGCGATTCCAAATAGTCAAATGGTAGTGACAAGTTTTTTCAGGTGAACATAAGGTGAACAAAATTATATAGTGAGAAAATGTATATATAACAAGTGGAAAAAATCAATAAATAGATAGTTTCTTTCCAAAAAATCTTCAGGTGAAACTCGTGCGTTTCAAAATTCAGCGCTCCTTAGTATGTTCTGCAGAGAAGATCCCCTATAGGGTATGCACTTACCGCAAAGTAGGACTGTACATTAACAGCCAGTACACGCTTTAAATGAACAGTCCTCCGTCCTTCGAACCCGATATGATCCAGCATTCAACTCCAAAAGACATCCTCCCAGCAGCACATAGTAATCAGTCTGCAGGCGGCTTATCGTTCAGTCGGCGTGTGATGTGTCCGGGGACTACGCTGCTTCTCAAATTAAGTTTTAAAAGAAACTTTATGTATCACTTGGAAACAAATTGGTAGTTATAGTACACTATTTGGGAAATGTTTTACTCACACAGTTTTTAGGAAAATCATGTTATGATTATTGCTATGTTTGCATAGTCATTTTATTTATACTTTTGACTGACGCTGTATTAGCACTTTGAGTGTTCCTCATGAGAGGTTATGAACATTAATAGTGGCATTTTTGCAATTTTTTTCTGTTTTTTTTATGCACTTTGAATGTTCCCCACGGAGAGGTTATTAGCACTGTACCTTTTTGTTTACTAAAGTTAATCTAATGCAGCTTCCTGTGATAGTGTGGGAACAATCCTGCACTGTTCATTCAGACCAGAGTTGTAGGCTATGCCTGCTTGCACTACAGTAGATTGAAAAAAATGTTTCAGGGGCATCATAATTCTCGCTGCTAATTGTAGCTTGTCAATCAGCTCCATTCCACATCTGCTCCTGCCCACTGCTTCATTGATTGACATCACTCTTGCTGAAATGCTATAAACTGCAGTGTCTGGGAAAAGGAGCATGTTCGGAACAAATGAATGAGGATATGGCTCAGTCAGGGAAAACAAAAGGAAGTTTTTAGGTTTACTTTATGAAGCTTGAGCATTTATTACTTGTTTAGAGTGTCATACCTTAAGTTGTAGTTTAACTATGCCTGCTACAGTCAGGGTTTTTTTTTTTTTTAAAGGACTACTCACTGAAAGCATGATAAAACCATATAAACATCTTACCAGGTTAGTTGATAGGTTTACAAAGTCTGCATAGTCTTTATTAATAAGTTCAATCATTGCAGTCTTAAGAAGTCTGTAGTAAATCTCTAGATCATCTCGAAGATTCTCCAACTGCACACGCTTTCTGCACTCTGACACAAACTGGTCCACATCAAACGAGTCCTTAAGAGAAATAACTGTAAACAATTGCACAGTCAATCAAGAAAACAAATTGTTAAATCCTGACAGATCTAGTGGATGCAATGAAACTGGGATAGACAGTCTATTTCACTTACGCCACCCTAATGCAGTTTTTTTACCCGTCCTAAATACGTTGTGCCAGCTCCACTCATCTATCAGAAGTGAACACAGATGAGACAATACCAGGTGTAAGTTGAAGCTTCACAGCAATCCAGTTCCTGCGGTTTACCCTTCCTATGTGGATTATACACACAGCAAATGTTTAAGGGCTTGTTCACACCATTTTCTGGTCCAGATCTGCAGTCGCAATGCTATGAGTGCAGCGCGTTTTTACCGCGTTCCGGTTCCTTTTTTTTTTGTGTGGAGTGGGGCTGTCAGCTATTACCTGCAGTGCGGTGCATTTTCGTTGCGTTTTTGACGCGTTCCCGGGCCAGAGAAAATGTGACATGTAGTATTATTTATGTCCGGACCGGAACAGACTGCGCTGGTGAGAACTGGAGCCCATAAAACACATAGGGATACATTTTTAGTGCAGGAGCGAACTGTTATGGTCCCGACAGAATCCGGACGCCGTGTGAACAAGCCCTTAGTCTTCATCTTGAGAGAAAATGCTTGACACACGTCCAACATTTGTGGACCACACTGTATAGCTTTGTAAACTAATGTGAAGATGCAAACAGAGAAGAGCAAAGCCAGGAATAATACCTCCAACCCGTCTTTTTTCCAATATCTCCAACTCGTCTTCTGCATACTAGCATTCTTTTGCCAAGTTAGGCTACCTTGCTTTAATACATTAAGTACATTGCTGTGTACATTAACATGGCTCCAACATGACTGATTTTGGGTTGTTTCCAATTTTGTTTTATAGATACTTGAATTTGAGTGACTCCATGTTTGTTTGTCTATTATACGCTCAAATGTTCTTTATGTATGCAATATAAAAACTGCGATGTTTACAACTGATGGTATTTTTAAAGAAGAATTCCAGGAACTTGTTTTATTAACCCTTAACCAATTGAAGTCCAGGGTGTTAAACCCCCTTCCCATCCAGGCCATTTTTCAGTATTCAGCGCTGCGGTACTTTGACATTTATTCCGTCATGCAACGCTGTACTGAAATTAATTGCATACCCTTTTTTGGGAACAGATAGAGCTTTCTTTTGGTGGTATTTAATCACCACTGCGGGTTGTATTTTTTACTATATTAAGGAAAATTTACAGAAATTATAAAAAAAAAAACATAACTGTTTCCCCTATATTAAATTCTAAAACATTTATTATTACCCAATTTTTTGGTAAAATATAAAAGACGGGGTCACGTCGGGTAAAAAAAGACACCAAACATGTCAAGCCTTAAAATTGCACACGCGCGCAAAACCTCAAAGAACTACATTACCCAAAATTGGCCATGGGCGACGCTTTAAAAGCTTTTACCGCTCATCAGTTTAGTGTTATCAGTGATTGATAACCCTAAAATGATTGCTCTCACTCCGACGTTCGCGGCGATATGTAACATGTGTAGCGCAATTGTGGGGTCTCTAGAACCCCTGTCACCTGGGGACCCCAAAAGAAGCTGATGAAGCAGAGATCTGCTTCATCAGCTTCTTCTCTGGATATAGCAGCCAGATGACCGACAGGTGAATGCGGAAGTGATGTAATACACATCACTTCTGCATTCACAGCCCGGAGGGAGATCAGCAAGGAGCTTTCTTAACGGGCGGACGGCAAGAGGTTAAAGTGGGGCTACCCCCACACTGCAAGGGTTAAGGGCTCATTTGTGTCTAGGTGCTAAAATAACAAACGTATCTTCTTCAGCATCATCAAGTCTATACACTGCAGGGGTGTGGAAATTTTTTTTTAAACTACTTGTCCAAGGACTAAAGTGGGGGCCAAATCTACTTGTCCCAATACAAAAAATAGTTTTAATCAAAACTAAGGATGTACCAATACCGGTTTTTCGGTATCGAGTACGAGTACCGATTTTTTGCTTTCGGTTCTCGCCGACACTGAAACCGGTGCTTCCGCTGACATAGAGCAGGCTTCCCTGGTAATCAGGAAACTGGGCAGCAGGTAATGACATCCCGCCAAGGTTCCCGATTGCCACGGAAGCCGACTCCATGTTGTTTGGCCTGCTTGATTGCGATTGGCCGGGAAACCTGCTTCCCGGTTAATCAGGAAGCCGGGTGGCTAGTAATGACCTTATTGACCGGGAAACTGGCTCGATGCTGATTGGCCAGGAAGCCTTGTTTCATTTTTATTTATTTTTTCATTTTTATTTTTACTTTTTAATTTTGAATTTTTTAAATCTTTATATATTTTATTTTTTTAACTTTACATTTTCTTTAACTTTTTATTTATTTACTTTTTCCCCTTAATGTTCTTCCTATTACATAAGGGATTTTAATCTCCTATGTGATAGTTTGGAGGTGACAGGTTCTCTTTATGGAACCTGCCCTCCAACACAGAACAGCTGTTCTGTGTAGTTCCTGACAGCCGAGACAGGTGGCGCTGGGATTACAGCGCCACGGTCTCAGAGAACACACAAAGAGCCCGTAGAGCAGACGTTTTTCGTCGGCTCTATGGCTGAGCCGTTGTGCCTTAGTTTTCGGGGTCCCCCGGGAGAGCGGGCGACCCCGAAAACTACGGCGGGGGGTGTGGGCAGAAACGATCGCCGCTGCTCATATTAATACAAGTGGTCTGATCAGACCACTTGTATTAAACGAGCGGCGGCTCCACAATGTACATTCAGCTCTGCTTGTCCGGAGCCGGGCTGAATGCACTTTAAAACTACTTGCCCGGCGCCCGAAACTGCATGTCCCGGGCGTCGGGCGATAGGAATTCCACACCCCGGCACTGTGTATAGAAATGATTTACGGGACCTTAGACTGCTCCAGAGGGGGGAGAGCCATTGGAAGGACTGGTCTAAAAAGCCGTCTGAGCTTCGGGTGACTTTTTTTTTTAACCTAGAAAAACAAGCACTTAGTCCTTGCAGTGCAAGGGTAGCCTCAATGCAAGGGTTAATAAAATCCAGGAGTTCTTTAACCTTTTTTTGTGTTTTGGCATTTAGCAGGTTACGACCTACAGACATGGCTGATGCAATTAAGCCTCAAGAGGAGAAAAAGAGACCCAAGAAAACACTTTTTATGGTGCAGTAAGCCATATATAGGATTCATCTTCTGAATGTCAAGGGGTTGACAGCAGTGGATTTCACCCTCCTAGGTAGTGCAAAGAAGGGAGACAGGAAACAGGTGGATCTATTTGGTTCTCCAAGAATTCGAAAGGATTGGACTAAACACAGCGCAATTTCATCAAAAACAGAATTAAAAAAGATAGAGGCTGTAACTAACAATTATTTTCATAATTGATTAGTTGGCCGATTATTTTTACGATCGGGTAAAAAAAACCCAAAAAAAACAACTTAATGCCATGCTTAAGTTTTAAAAAAAAGACACATATGCAGTGTTACAAAGTTTACTTCAGAGTTAGCCCTCGTTCACACATTAACGTTTTGTAGCGCGTTCTACGCTCGACGAACGCTCTACAAAACGCTCAAAAATATAAATCCCATTGTATTCAATGGTCTCGTTCCCACCTTGGCGTATTTCCGCCCGTCCCTAACGCGCTACAAAACGGCCCACGCCTGAAAAGGTACATGTACTACTTTGGGCCGTTTTGTTGCGCGTTTCCATTGGGATACAGCCAAGTAGCCTTCGGAAGCGCGCGTTTGTCGCGCTACTTTTTTACCGCGAATCACGGTTCAAAAACGTGCGACAGACGCGCATATGCAATACGCCTAGGTGTGAACAAGACCTCTAAAACTGCATGCACAATTTTTTGCAATCGCACTGCACTGGAACGCACAGCATTGCGGTTCCGTGCATTCCAGTGCGGCAGATCACACTGTGGGTGGAAGGTGCATTTCGGGAGCCATTGATATGAATGGCACTGCAACGCACCTCCAACAGCAGTATTTGTCAGGCCGAAACCAAAAATTACTTTTCCCCACCTTTTATATATTTTTTAAAAATAATTGTATTGTAAGCACATGGCGCTTGAATAGTTTCAGCAAGGAATGAAAGTTGCTAGTGGCAATATTCCGCAGATGGTAGCTAAATGTAAATACACAGCAGGTTGTGGGCTGGTGCAAAAGTCAGCCTGCTATTGGCCATTTCAAATTTCAATAGCAGGCTGGCTATTGCACCCGCCCACTGCTTGCTGTGCCCTTCTCCAAGCATGGAGGAGAGAGATAGGTGTTCCAACCAACTAATCGATAATGAGAATAGTTGGCAACTATTCTCATAATGAATTTGGTTGCAGAGCTATATCTCTATCTAAGGGGCCAAGCCCAACCCCTGAAGAACCACCCCACACCATAATCCCCCCTCCACCAAACATTACACTTGGCACAATGCAGTCAGGCAAGTACCGTTCTCCTGGCAACCGCCAAACCAAGACACGTCCATCGGATTGCCAGACAGACGCGTGATTCGTCACTCCAGAGAACTCGTCTCCACTTTTCTAGAGTACAGTGGCAGCATGCTTTACACCACTGCATCCCACGCTTTGCACTTGGTGATGTAAGGCTTGAATGCTATCACGATACCATGCACGGGTGTCCCCACATCGCATGCAGGTATCTATACAGGAGGACCAAATATGTGACCACACCAAACAAGGCTTATGAACTTATAGTTTTTTAGACATACTAAAATCAGACACAAGCAACCCCACCAACACCCACAAGTAACATAAAATGGCCAAACTAAATGCAAACAGCAAAATCACACACAGAATATAACAGGGCTAGTCAACCTGGGAAGCAGGGCAACAAGAGGGGAGCCATCAGGAGACGGAGTCAGGCTTCAAGGAGGCAACCTGAAACTTGTGTAGACTTGTGTCTTTTTTCAACCTGACTAACAATATCAACAGGATAACAGGCAGCAGGATAACAGGCAGCAGGATAACAGGCAGCAGGATAACAGG